CTGCTACTACTGCTACCACTACTACCACTACTACTACTACTACTACTACTACTACTACGACTACGAAGACTGCTACGAAGACTACTACGAAGACTACTACGAAGACTACTACGAAGACTACTACTACCACGAAGACTACTCCTACCACGACGACTACCACTACTGCTGCTGCTACTACTACTACTACTACTACTGCTACTGCTACTACTACTACTAGTACTACTACTACTACTACTGCCACTATTACTACTACTACTACGACGACGACGAAGACTACCACTACTACGAGTACTACAACTACAGCTGCTGCTACTACTTCTACTACTACTACTAGTACTAGTATTACTGTTAGTTTGACTCTATGAGCTACACCTGAGGCGATTCGGAACCACTCAGCCTACGAAGCTTCCTTGTCTGTCGTTCTGAGCCTCTTGGCGCGGGGCCCCAGCGAAAAGGACAGCTCCACAAGAGCAAGAAGATGTCAGAACGAAGCATGAGGAAGTCAGAAACGAGCTTCAGTCGAAGTGTGGGGTCCGATTCCTACCCTAAACCCTGAACCGGAACCCTGAACCCTTGGAATAGGAGTCGGTGAGGGTTATTTATATACTGCATTATACTATACATGACATGACATGAGAGGTGATCGGAGGGATGTGACTCTAAGGCCATGCCGGCGCTCCGAGACGTGGTCTTAAGGTACATGTGCCACGCATGGACCTCCCGCTATCGCGCCGGGGCCTCATACATCTAAACCTTACGAGGCCCTCCGGATCTCTTTGCGGATTCGGGTTCAGGGCTCTCGGAGAAAGGATCCTTCGGAAGTGGCAAATATGCAGCCCTTTCAAACCAGGGCCGCCAAGAGCAGGGGCCAATTCTCAGGACGGAGGAAGGCAATCCTTCAAGCTTAAGGCAGAGAGTGCTGTGAGATGGCTCATGTTGTGAAGAAAGCGGCTTTGGCGTGCCTGGAGCCATGAATCTGAGGTCTTAAAGAGCCTCTTGGCCGTTTCATGGCTCTGGGCTCAAAAGGAGCAACAAACCGCCGACGAAGTACAGCCTTGAGCTTGAGTCATGTTCAGGTCCTCGTTGGCAACCTCGCTCCAGCGCATCCTGCTCTCTGAAGCCGCGCTGATCCTCCAGGCACAGACGCCAAGATGCATTCTCACGTTTATACTGCATACGGACTTAGTGCCGGCAAGATTAGTTGTGTCTACAGTGCCAACACCAGCACTGGCATAAGAACATACATCTTAGCCGTACACTTTTTCAGACCTTGTGTTGCATGGACACATCAACATCTAACCGAATGAAGCCTGCGATCGCGAGGTCTGTGCTTGGGAGATGCGTCTGGTGTGGCCTTCTGGCCGTCCACCTATGGAACATCTCGATACCACGGCGGATATCTTGGGACAACAGCTGCTTGCCAAGAACCAAAGCTCTAGACTTGTTTTGCTTTCCTTCTACTGTCTGGAAAATCCTGTTGTCGGTCGGTTTTTCTCTATCCTTCTTTGGCCCTTTTTCTCCCTGCGACTCCCTCTTCGCAAGAACTTGAGCCCCTTTTTGCCACAGATGGCCACAGATCGATGCACTGCCGGAACACTCCGTGCTTGGTCCTCACAGAAATGAGTTGTTTGAGCAACCTTCGAGAGCTCAGGCGATTGGACATGAAGATGAATGTTTCGGAGCACTTGCAGGCTTCCTTTGCGGTTCATCGAGCAGTTGAGAGCGGCCTTGCCAGCCATCTGACTGCAGGAGGTGGTCTGCGATCTCATCTCTCACAGCGACAGTGGGCTTTCAGGGTCAGAGCCCAAGAATGAAGCGCGAACTATGGAGCCGGGAAAGCGCGTCTGAGCATGTCTGAGCGTGTGGGCGCAGGCACACGAGCATGCCGTACCTGGTAAACGCAGCTTTGCGCCTCGCCGACGCCTGCGACGTCGTCGACGCGGTTGTTGGCTCCGCGGCCTTGCAGGCCGCGCGGCAGTGTACAGAGAAGCTGCCATGCGCACAGAGCCTGATAACGGCGATGCTTCAACGATTTGGGAATGTCTGCAGGGGTCGGACTCCGTGCTGTTCGGTCGAGATGCCATGCAGGCAGGGCGTAGTCAATTACTCTGTTCAAGAAGTTGAGCCTCGTGAACATCTAGATGTCATACAACATGAAGATGACTGTGCGAAGCTTCCAGAGAGCAGTGCATGCCTTAAACGCCGATGGGAAAGATTTTCTGCACTAGAGAACCCGTCCTGAACCCTGAACCCGAAACCCCATCCCCAAGCATCACTCCTAAGACCATGAGGCCGGCAGCCTTTGACAGCTAGGGGTTTAGGGCTTGGAAGTTTAAAGTTTGAGGGTTTCAGGGTATAGGCCTGTCTGACGGTTTGGTTACCGGGTCCTATGATCGGTCAGTTCACAGCGACACCGTGGTCGTTGAGCTGGCGCAGTACTAGTAGCAACAGTTGGTACGATCAGCAAACGATGTTCGTGAGAACCATGATGACCCCAACTTCAAGACACCCCCTCACATCCTTCGCTCGTCTAAGATCGGAACTCGCAGATTAGAACATCTCTATGCAGCCTTGGTCGCATCAATCCCTACTCAAGCTGGTCGCATCACCGATGCAGGCGTTTCTGGTGTGGTTCGGTCACACTATGCAAGAAGCCCGCATAAGGCCCCATGAGCTGCATCAAAACCGGATATTGACCCCATACCACTGCGCAAGCCCCACAACCCCAAGCCAACAACTTGAACCTTGAGACACTACTTGGAGGTTCATGGGTAGTTAAAAGTAGGATTATAAGTATAGGGTAACTATAATTATACCCTATATTAGGGGACTTCTAACCCCTCTTATAACCACCCATGAACCTCCAAGTAACCATCGCCAACCGCAGAAGATGCAATAAATAACTACCACTACTATTCTGGGGTTCCTTATTGTCATTATACTATAATTATAGTAGGGCACCCCCCCAAAAAATAGTATACTGGGCCCCAAAGCCCAATGTGCCAGGATCAGCTTCGAGCCTCGACCTGCCAGTGCATGGCGCCCGCGAAAGCGGGGGGTGCGCTGAGCCGCAAGCTGGAGCTGCAGGACTTTGGGTTTCACTCAGATTAAAAATAAATAAATAAATAACTATATATATATATATATACATATATATATATATAAGAGTATATATTATAAAAGGGTCCGTGGTCCCAGCCTCTTCAGGCCTTTGGTCCCGGCTTTTGAGCCTGCCTATAATGCCTGAGAGGACCCGCATCTGCTCTTGCACCTGTCCGGACTCAGCTATCTGCTCAGCGCAACGGAAGCCGAAGGTCGGGCCCCCGAAAGAATGAAACGCCACACCTGGCACCCAAAATCCACCGGTCAGAACTCACAGAGCCTTGCGGATTCCGAGGTGATCGGTCCCGTTTCGCCGCAGACCTGCAGCTGCTCTGCTCTCGTAACGAATATGTTGGGCGCTCTGAATGCAGCGTTTTGCGGTGTTCACGACCTAGCAGGTCTTGACTTTAGAGTCGGGTGTCGTAATGTAGTGTAATGTCAGGTTGTGATGTAGTGTAATGTAGTGTAATGTAGTGCAGCGTAGTGGAGTGTAAGGTGAGGTAAGGACATGTATGTATGCATGGTGCGATGTATGCATCGGTGCATGCACGAATGTATGCAGACATGTAGGCACGCAGTGTAATTGCGTAGGCATGCAACGTAGGTATGTAGGCATGCAGACTGGTAGATATTCGACCAGGTGTGTATTTTAGTACGTATGATAAACCCATAAACGCATCGACGTATGAATGCATTCATGCATAGCTGCATTCATGGTTACTACTACTACTACTACTACTACTACTACTACTACTACTACTACATGGCAGTGTGCAAATCAGTCCCGGAATGTTCAGTAGATGTTCCATATTCTATGTGTTTGTGTCTGTACGTATGAATGATTGTGTGCATGTGTGCTGGGCTAAAGATTATGTCACGAAAGCTCTCCCCAGGGAGCCTCTCGTTTCAAAGGTCAGAACTTGTTCTGCCAGAAGGCTTAGGGGGTATGGGGGGGGGGGGGACCCCCCAACAGGTGGCCACTCCGGGCCCGTTTTTGCAGCCAATCCCCTTGCTATGCAGGGATTTAGGGTTGGCCCCAACGGGGCCTTTTTTGGGCTCCAGTGGGTGGGTCCCGAAACGACCCTCCAATGGAGAAACGAGCCCCCGATGATGCTCGTGATGCTTGCCTGGCGGTGCTCTATGATGCTCCTGCTGCTCGCCTGCCGGCGCTAATTGGGATCCCTGGATGCTCATGATGCGCCCAGCTTCGTTGCGACGCTCAGCTTCTTGTGTGTGCGGTCTTGAGTCAAGTTCGAGCTACACCCTCCAACCTAGAGCTTTCGTCACCTCCCCGCGGGTCTCAAGTTTAGCTATGTACACATACAGATACAGAAGGTTATAGGTCTATACTGCTATAGGCATATACACTAATATGCACGCAGCTTGTAAACGAAATAGGACAGCAGCAAAACAATTCAACTTGCCGTGATGTAAAGCACAAGCTGTTAAGAGCACGCCTAGCTAAATACCTATACGCACACATGTTTATGCAAAGTCAGAAAAGCAGTCGACAGTTGTATCGACATTGCTTGCAGTGCCGACTTGGAACGTTTTTGCAACCCCATTATGGGTATGATCGTTACGTTGTTGTCTTCAAGACTCGTGCCATAAATAACTTCTCATAGCTGCTGCTTGTACTGAACTAATTTGTCCACGGCTGTTCTGATTGTGCTTTCGCTGTTGGCAGCCGTTATTGCTTTGTTTCTGCTATTAAAAGAGAGAGTGTATGACTGCGCGAATTGTGTGTGTGCCACTTCCGAAGCATAGAGGGTTCTTACCCGCTCCTGTCTGTAATTGTGTCCGATGCTCAGTTCCCATTCGGTTATCCTTTATATAGTCGCATGCACATATAGCACGCGCGCACACACACACAACAAACTTATACATGCATAAACATACACATAACGGCATGATTCTGCATATGCATGTACACACACATACATATTTGCTTAGCATCTATACCCGACCTTACGGTTCTGATTGATCTTGCGTCTGTCAATCGTCTAGTCTTTCTCCAGTTCTAGCTTCCCTTCTTATCTCCTGCCCCAATCTTGTCGAAGAAACTTCTCATCCTTCGTCTTTTTCTTTCGTCATTTCCCACCCTTGAAAGAAGAATGGCAAAGCCCTGAGGCCTGCATTGCCTACTACACCGAGTGTGCATGCCGGCTTCCCAGGGGACGAAACCCCTAAACCCTAAGCCCCCAAACCTCTAAACCCTAAGCCCCTAAGACCTCTAAGCCCTAAACTAAACCCCTAACCCCTACACCCCTTGAACCCCCAAACCCCTAAACCCCTAAACCACTAAACCCCTAAACCTCTAAACCCAAAGCTTGGCTGGCTTTTGCCCAGGCAGCGGGTTGACAACCTTCGTATCAGCGGCTCTTTCCCACTTGGTCGGGCCAGCCAGTTTGCAGAATGATAATGGTAAGTAAACTAATAGTCGTAATTAATTAGTAGTAGTACAATAATAAGGCAAAATAATACTGGCATGAGATATGAGCAGCAGAAATAATTATCAGGAGTGGCTGCAGTTGCCGCCGCAACCTTGTGCAGCAGTGAATTTGCAATGCCAAATTCTGGACATAGCTCCTCAGACCACTTCACCTGCAACGCCGTGTGTCCATGTCAGTCCAGACCACGGGCTGCAACACATCGAACCAGGCTCTTGAAACCCTAAACCCTAAACCCTACACCCTGAACCCTAAACCCGAAGACACTTGAAACCCATCGTTCTCCGGAGCTAGAGCAGATCGAGTGTTCGTCCCCCCAAGTCGTACCGCGCATCCTTGCGAGTTATGCCAGGTTGGCAGACCCCGGGCGATGATCGGAAGTACCGAATCTGATTCAAGGGCCCAGGTGGGGATCCCTAAATCCCCAGAAGCCCCAACAGCCCTGAAGCTGAAGGGGCAAAGACCACGAAACTCCGAAGCCACATCTCTCGCTTTCTGCCCCTCTGAAGGCTGCCAGAGCTCACTTGGAGGCTCTGCTCCCCGCCATGGCTGCCGAAGAAGCTGGCGCAGAAGCACCCCGAAGACTCGAGCTCCTCTCAGGCCCCTGGGTTGGGTCTGGGGGCTGTCGGGGGTCGGGTTTTGGGGTTGGTAAGGTAGGGCTTAAGGGTTTAGGGGTTCCTAGGGTTCTTAGGATTTCAGGGCCCATTGGGGTGCTCAAACTGAGAGGAAGGGCCCTTCTGAATCGCAGGACTGGCGACAGCTTTCCTGGCTGCCATGATCGAGCGATCCAAGGCCTGCCTGATGAGTCAAGAGTACTTGGAGGTCCATGGGTAGTTATAAGGCTCCTTTAAGGATCTATAAGAGGGTTCTACAAGGGCTCTATAAGGGGCTGTATAAGGGGTCTATAAGGGATCACATTTAGAGGTTCATGGGTAGTTATAAGTAGGGTTATAAGTAGGGTAACTATAATCATAACCCTATTAGGGGACTTATAACCCCACTTATAACTACCCACGAACCTCGAAGTAGGGAAGATGAAGCTTGCTTCGAGAGTTGCAGCAAGAAAGGGAGCAGCACAGAAAGCCACCCCAGGCATGAATCATCAGTTTCGTTCTCCCCTCGTCACAGCTTGGAACAGGCTCCGCCCCTTGCCTTCGTCCGGCGGGTGTACGTCTTGCTGAGCGGAGCATTGGTTCGACCTCTGGCGGTGTCTCGCGAGTCCCGCCGAAACTTGCAGGAGGCGACGGAGTGAGTGCTTCTGAGAATTCTGAGCTTCCTCGGAGTCCCTTGCTGGAGTGATGGCAGCAGAGGCGTTGCTGGTCCTACTTCAGCGGATGCTGCCGGACCAGGCTCGGTTCGGGGGGCGAGGGTAGGAGCCTGGGGATTTTTGGCCGCTGATGGCCCCTGGCCTCAAGGCACTCGATGTCGCCATGGGATTTCAGGTGCCGGACCTCGAAGCCGAGGCGCGCGGTGAGGGGGCAAAGAATAGAACGAAGACTTCTCCGGCGCTTCTCCAGGAGGCGACGGAGCTTGCCAGACTGGTCTCCTCCCTAATGGCTGCCGAGATGGCCGAAGCACCGTGGCTAGAAGAGCCTCAGAGTCGAATCCACATCCTGACAGTCAGGGCAAGCTTCAGGGACTTCGAGCGTTTATATGACGGGGTTTGGGCCCCTACTGTAGACTCCAAACCTCCACACTCTTGACTGTTAACCCTGAACAGGACCCCTCCCCAAAAGCCTAGAAGTATTTGTTTGAGCCTGCAGGCAGAGCATGTTGCCGAGTCCGACCCGAGCTCAAATGGACCTGGAGTCTCGCTTCCCCTCCTATGTGCCCTGATGACACGGGTGCCTGCAAGGCAGCTCTCTACAGTTTTTTCTGGGCTATGGCGGCAACTCACGGAGCTTATTCAGGCGGGATCGCAAGCGTCCCTTCGAGATGCCAACTGCCTTCGGCATCTGCACGGCAGCGCTTTGGCGGCGATCCTTTGCCAGTCACCCGAATCTGCAAGTGCATTCTTCGAAGCGGGAGGGCTGTCTGCAGTGCTGCGGCCAGAGATGCTGCAAGGCAGGATGCGACTGGCCCCAGCAGGGCTGCACGCCTTGGACACGGTTCATCCGGCTGCCCTGGTGTCTGTCTTGCAGGTGTTGGTGGCAATGCTTGGTGTTTTACCCACGCACAACCTGGTGCTACAGAGTGCCTTGCAGTGGCTTGAGAGGCATCTGCAGCCACTTCTCGACGTCATGCAATGGGTGACCCGGCTGCCTTTCACTACGTCCTCAGAGCCGAGAGCACGAGTTGGCGGCGCAAGTCCCAGCAGTGTGGTGGCAGCCCTGGCCGCGAGAACTGGTCGGAGTGCGGGCAGGGAAGGCCCGGATGCTATGTTGGTAGTCTGCAGGTCTCTGCAGAATCCACAGACTTCCGCTACTACACGAGACTTGTGCGTGGACGGGCTTGCCTTCTGGCTCAGCGGGCGCTGCTCCATGAGCAGTGGCTCGTCCGTCGGTGCGGATGACAAGTATGCCGACGGCATCGCACTCTGCCACCGCTGTTTGGCATTGTTTGTGGAGCTGTGGTCACTTGTGCATGTTTCCGTGGCGCGCAGAAGGAAGTATGCTGCTGGAAAGGCAGATGTTTATCAAGCCCAGCTACAGAAGCTGGAGCCGATGATCCATGCAGCACTTCCAGGGCTTTTGATGCAAGTTGCAAGTGCTTCCGCGCCAGACCCGGACAGCATGTCGGATGCAGATGGCAGTGCTGGTAACACAATGCTGCTTGAAGCTCTGAGGCCAGCGGAAGTGACCCAGCACAGAATCATCTCCAACATTTTGCAGATCTGGAGATATGACAGCATCACCCAACACATAAAGATGCTCGCCACCAAAAACCCCCAAGCGCAGCCAAGCGCGCAGAGTGCATGGTCACTCTGGCAGCAAGTGCAACAAACAGGGCCTTTTCAACAGGTCACGCACGGATCTGGGATGTCCCAGTCTATCGTCGGAGAGGTGAAGGTCCGCTCTGGCGTGTTGTGCGCCGTCTTCGTGCATGCTTGCTGCAAATTCTTGAGCCTCAGACTTTCTGATCCGCTCCCGGTGGGCAGCGAGGGAGAGACCCTTGCTTCTCTCGAAGCGACTGTGGATGGACAAGGCGGACATGGCGAGCAGCTGCACTTCGACGGTGTTCCTGCCACATTTACCCAATTGCTTTACGTTGTAGAGATTTCTCTACATCTCCTCTGCCTGCATCTGATGCTGCTGACGACGGTCGCAGACCTGGACGGGGCGCCAACGGTTTCTGCCCAGACTCCGCCGACACCTGGGCCACGACTGGCGATCGTCGGCCAGTACCTTCGCTTGCTCATCGAGTTTGCAGCCGCCTCTGGAGGATCCGTGGCCCTTGTGGCCAGGTGCCCGAGGACCTGCGACCTTCCCAAGACGGTCTCCAACCTGGCCTTTGCAGCCAGCGCGGCGTCTGCGGCCCCTTGGCGCAACATTGAACTACCATGTAGCAGCCACGTGCCAGACACTAGCTGGCTAGATTGAGTGGTGCACTCTTCGGTACATGCTGTGAACTGTCCGTACCTGTAGTACCAAGTTAACATGTGGTGAGCCTTGATGTAAGGCTGAGAAGCTGGTGGCCCAAATGCAGCTGCAACAGGGCGGGTTATGAAAAGTGATGCAGCGCCTCGTGCCGTCACCTTTTGCGTGCATGGCAGGACTGCCATGACTTTTTTGGATATGGGCATGCGTGGCATTCGGAACGTGCTTGCATGTTGGTTCAAGCATCAGACCAAATATGACCACGATTACAACCAGCGGCTCGGTGCACTTTGCACCTTGTAAACAGACCGAGGCTGCAACTCACATGCAGACACTCGCAGAACACTTGATGCTGAGAACTGTTTCTCGCACCTGGCAGAGACGTGACGGATGAGATCCACGTCAGTACTGTGCACCCATCTAACATTTTGGCCAACACGGACAAATTACATGGCAGTCTGAACACGGGTAAACCGTTCGGAGTCGGCAGCCGAGTTCACAGAGGGAACGAAGACCATCTCCCTTTGTGAGAAGCGTTGGACATTGAGGTGCTAGCGGCGGTTGCGCTGGAGCCTGTCTGCTCAGCATATCCTTTCTAAAGTCTCAAGCCTAAACCCTACTTCAAGTTTAGCCCCCTCGTACTTCCTGAGGCCACCACATGGCGGAAGTTGCAACCGGGTGCAGGGGCTCAGTTGACTTCAGCACAGCCCAGGGGTTTCATGTTCCTAATATAGAGGCCTTAATAATTACCAACATTATTTTGGGGGTTCCCTATTATAGTTATAGTGTAATATCCACAAAAGCCTATTCTAATTGTTCAGGCCCCTTTTTTTTAAATATCTCCTGCCAGCTCTGCCGTGATGGTGTCTGTCAGACCGGAACCTCAAGCCCATAAGAAAGAACGACAAAGAGAGTTGGCTATAGTTTAAGAGTCTGTAAGTATTATTACCATTACGATTATTCGAAAATATGTATATATATATACCCACGTATATAGAGATACATAATATAGGGTACTTTTTGAGGAGGTACGACACTGCTTGGGGAAGCTCTCAGACTTCGCACAGATTTGAGCCGTGCGTGGACAGGTCGGAGAAGACTTTCCCTGACAGCTAACTCCATTCCCTGTGAACCCAAAACCCCAAACCCTAAACCCGAAACCCCAAACCCTAAACCCTAAGCGCCAAACCCGAACCCCCAAACCCTAAACCCGAAATCTCGACTGGGCACATGGAAGGAGGACGGGCGTCGCAGGTTCTGCCTTCGGGCCGTGGGATGCGCGGAAATTGAACTGGTCGCAACAGTAGCCCCAGGCAACGATAGAAAGAGCTACAGAAGAGGGGGAGGAAGAAGGAGAGGGAGGGCGAAACGAACTGCTAGTTGAGGGGAAAAAGCTCCTTTGGTTCGCATTAAGCTATAAACAGACCGAGCCAAAGGACTGCACAAGCTTCGTCAATCCCGCTGTCGAAAAACTCAGAGGCATGCTTCTGGTGTTGACAGTCTTTTTTGGGGTGCAACTTGAAAGATGCGTGCATCGGAACAGGCCCAGCCCATGGAAGGAATCACTGAACAAGGTGCGTCCTTTCATGCCCGCTTGGAACATCTCGAGCTTCTCACACTGTCTGGTCTTTGCCAGGGCAGTTCCCTGCCCACAAAGTGGCCTTCTACGAGCTTCTGCTGCGCCAGCTGCAGGAGAGCTGTCTGGCCAAGCCACGCTCAGTGACTCTTTTGCCTCAACTAGTGGAAGCGGAACCTCACCACTCGACAGCAGAATCCAGGATGATGGCTTCGAGTCTGAGGCTGCGACCACACACGGCACACGAGGCATCGGACTCATGGCTGTGCAGGTGCAGGCCTTAACCTCACAGCTGCGCTTGCACCCAAACAGCCGGGTTGACAAGGCCTCTGCCGCGTTTTATTGTGTCGAGAGCTTTTTCGGGCCTTCTTGCTGGGTGCCGTCAGGATGCCCTGCTGGATGTCTATGCCAAAAGTTGGCCCTCAGCTGCCCTGCGCCCTGTGCTGAGCGTGGTGGTCTCCCCTCTGCCGAACGAGGCTTGAAGTGGGCCTTCGGCGACGAGCCTCGAGGGGAATGGCAGCCTCTGCACTGTATACCTGCTCAGCTCTCGGCAGCATCTTTGGGCTTTGTTTGCTGTTCTTTGCCTGCCTTGGACCTGAGGTGCCACCGCTCGGTCCGCAGGAGAAGGTGCTCGATCTCGAGGGAAAGCCCATACAAAGTAGCGGTGCTGAACCTATGCCCACCGTGATCAAGTCAGATGATACAGAACTATACAGAGTTTCATGCACAAGTTATGGCAAATCTGTAAGGTCCCCCACAGGCCCCAGATCCCACGAAGAAGCCTCCAGAAGTCAGGCTGGCTGCATGTGGCATCAGCTTGGAAGCCTTCTACCGCTGCCCACGTAGGCTGCTGTATACCGCCTCGCACAAGTCGCACTGCCGATCTGTGGCGTTCTCGACAGATGGACGCTTCTGCCAGCGCCTAAGTTCTAGTGTTTCGTGGGAAGCAGAGCTGCATTTCGTACCCTTTAGTGGTATCCCTTGGCATCGAGCTTATCCGAGGTGCCACCGGATGTTCCGACGGCAGCATCAAGATTCTAGACACCGCAGTCGGCTCAGCTCCTTCCAAATGGAGATGCATCTGGGACCAGATGAAACGACATCCATGGAGCCAGCCTAAGGCCAAGATGCGGGTCTGTGCTGCCAGCACGGAGGGACCTGTCGGCAGAATGCGAGTGACCGAGGAGGACTCGAATGTGGCGACAGCTTCACTCGCACAACATATTTGCTCACTATTTTCTGGACACTAACAGTCCTTTTTAATTCGGTGTTCCGCAGGAGCTGATGAAGCCAATCGTCCGCACCCTCCAGGCTGACTAACCGAATGAAGATTCGAAGATTCTAGTTTATGGGTGAACACCTATCAGTGTCAGGATCACATCCAGGGCGTCACGTGCTTGGCATTTCATCCAACGAATCCGACATTGTTCTCTGGCTCAATGGACAAGGCCAGCCGCGCTGATAAGGATCGGTCCGGATCAGGATCCCCGGATCCCCACGTCAAGTGCTTTTTCGAGAGGCAGTGAAGATCTTCGACTTGACCCGACCGCCGGGCCACAAGAAGGAACATCCCCGCGCCGTATCCTCCCATCTTTCGGATCCCAGGCGCTCTGTGACAAAGCCAGGCGTTCTCCGTACTTCAGGATGTTCATGCTGTGAACAGCATATGCCACAGCCTCAACCAGTGCCGGAGCTACGCGCGCAACGCCGAGAGCGCAGTGCTGGCAGTGGGAAGTACTAGCCACGCAGACGTGCAGCTACGGTTGCCAGAGATGAGGCATCCATCCCTGTGGGGATTTTCTCTTTGTGGGGACCACTCACCAGGCCGGCTAGGCCCAAACTACAATGCTGGGGAGCTATGGAGTGTGTTGAGGCAGTTCGTCTCTACGACCTGCAGACGTTGAGCTGTTTCACGACATCTCGTCAAGACCAGCACCACACAGCAGGCTTCTTGTGCTTTGCCTCTGCACGCCTCTGCAAGCTCTTCAAGACTTTCCGACACATCACTGCAGGAATCAACGATGTTCGCTGTACGAGCGATGGTAAGGTTTTGGCATCCGCGTCTGCTGTTGCAAACTGAGCCCGTGTGAGGTCATGCATATAGGATATTCGTCGAATGCTTTCGACATACGCCGGCTCCGAGGACGGAGGCATCAAGCTCTGGGATGCAGTCACCAACAGCGTCATCAACACGCTGCCGAAGGCTGTGCCTTTCTGGCCTGCAAAAATTACGGCTGTGTAATGTGACATCGAAATAGTGTGTTGCAGGCTCACAGTGGATCTGCCGTGTGCTCCGTACGATGGAGCCTGGGCTTTAGCTTTGCAGCTAGCACTGAGCTCGTCTACTAAGCTCCGTTTCAGTTGTGGGATGGATCGTGAACCTGAGGCCGCAGTTTGCGCTACCTGCTGAGCTGTGGCCAGGACGGAAGGCTTGCCCCATCCGACGACGAGATCCGGCTCTTCTCGTGCACAATGCAAATAAGTGTAATTGTTCTTGCAGGCAAGCAGGCCAGCGAGCCAGCGAATGCAAGCCTGCACTCATGCATGCAGTGTAGGAAGTAGGTAGTGGGAAGTAAGTACTATCCAGAGTCGTTCGCTGGAATCCTGTCCCTGGGCGTCTCAACAACAAAGATGGAAGCGCAGGGGACGGTGAAGCGCATATATGAGAGCATGGGTCGGGGCAACTCCACTGGCCCGTAGCCCTGAGTTCTTCGGTGGTATTAAACTGCATCATGAATATTCTATGCTGCTATGCACAACCCGGGGGCATCCAACATACAACAGTCTGACATCCTTCCAAAGCCCCAGAAACGAGGAGGGGGCTTCGCGGCTGGGGGGCTTGACACGCCCCTCCTGCCCTGATGAAGAATTCGCGCAGACACACTAACACCCTCGGACTCGGTGCCGCCCACACCAATTGGGGCATCGCTTTGCGGCGACCCCGCTGCCAACCAGCTCTCTTCTCCGCTTGCATCTGCAAAACTCTGATAGGCAGCGACTTTGGGATGTGCGGATGGGTCGAGAGGCACTGGCACCAGCTTTGAGCCAAGTCGGCCGACGAGTTGCACTCGCCTGTCCCAGGTGTTCTGCATGGGCTTTGGAGCACGTTCCGCTGACACTGGCACGGCAGTGTTCTTGAATGGAGAGAAGTGCAGCCCTCTGATGACAGTCCCAGAGAAGATGCTGCAATTCGCGACATGTTGACAAGTGTAGGAGTCGTTGCCGTGAAGGTACATCGCAGCTTGCAACAGCAATGTGAGACTGAGCGATGTCAGTCTCTTCGATGCCACCACAGGCAGCTGCTGAATTGCTGCAAGCATCTTCAGAGCCGAAAAGCTAGGAGTTGTTTTATTTGGAGGTTCACCCGTCTTTATGAAGCTGGGAATGCACAACGTCCCAGTTCTCGGGATCGAGGCTTCACCTGTGGACAGGAGCGTCTGTGCAGAGACCGAGACATAACAGCCTCTACTTTGGAGCAGCGCAGGACGATCATGACGGGGTGCGATGATGAGAAAGCAAGATACTTCAGCATTGAGGCGGCAAAGCTTTGTCATCAACTGCTTGTAGAGCTCTGTCTTCGGACTTCGGATAGCGAATCTGTGCCAGGAGCGTCTGTGAGCACCGCGGCTATGGGTGCAGAGCTGCAAGCTTGACGGGAAAAGTTGGGCCTAGTACTTCAGTGCATAAGCAACTAGAGTATCGAGTGCTGCTCTTGTGCTCTTGTCAGCGGCCTTCGCTGCTTCCGGCCACTCAGATGTATTGTGGAATTCTGCTCGAGCAACCTCAAGGTTGTCTGAGCTGAGGCTGAAATAACCAGACTGCAAGAACCCCAAAGATAGAAATTAGAGCGTACCACGGTCTGCAATGCACTTGATTCAGTCACTCAGAGTGGTCGCATTGAGCGTATGATTCAGAGTATGGACCTCTTGCAATTCATGGTCATCAGCTGAGCTGGACTTCGCGGTTCGAAATGAGCTCTGAAGACCTGTTGAAACAGCTGCAAGCTCAGTTCGCCGCGCAAGGGCAGCACTTGGACAGGGAAGACGTCCTGAACCTGGCTCGACAGCTGCATGTGGACACGCAGAGCGACTGGTGCGAGGCAGCTGGCCAGTCTGAGCCCTTAACGACACGGCTCAAGAATCTATTGAAGGACTATCCAGCTGATGTAGGCCTTTTCAAGGAGATGGTGCAGAATGCAGATGATGCCGGCGCCACGCGGGTCCATTTTGTTTGGGATGCGCGACCGCAGCGGAAGGAGAGCCTCCTTTCCCCAGAGATGAAAGCCTGGCAGACGAACTGTCTTTGGTCCTACAACGATGTGCTTGGGTGTTCTTCAGAATTGCTTTTGTGTTTTGGGAAAGTCGCTAGCCTCTAAACTTGAAGGAGCTCGATGCCTGCTTATGTCCAAAGCTGATCTGCGGTGTTAGCTGCTCATGCAGTTATACTATTAACGTTTTCATGTAATCATTCCTGTCGTTGCACAAAAAAATCCATTCAACAATCGCAGCACAAAGCACACCAGCAACGAGTCGTCGTAATCGCAATTACTGGTGGTCTTGAAGCACGTCATTTTTTCGGACAGCGGCCAGAGCCCAAAAGAAATCATACGCCTGAGAATCACGATGACTAAATCTTAAACCCTGAGAATCCCTAAATCCAGAATCACAGAGAGAGCACCAAGGCGCTCTTCACGGAGCAGGACTTCGAAGCGATCTGCCGGCTCGGTGTTGGCGGCAAGCGGGAAAGGTCCGAGCGGATCGGCCGGTTCGGGCTCGGCTTTAACTCGGTGTATAATCTCACCGATGTGCCGAGTATTCTGAGCGATTCCCTCGTCCTGTTTCTGGATCCGCACGTCTCTCATCTCTCTAAGATGGGGGCCTCGAGCCAGAAACCTGGCATCAAGCTCCGCTTCTTGAAAGTCCCTGTCTTGGAGCGTTTCCGCGACCAGTTCGAGCCCTACCACAAGCTCTTGGATTGTGATTTGGAGCCTTATCTTGCGCCTACTTGACGGGTGCAGATGCAAAGTGTAGGTATGTGTATCGTGTGTGCCCGAGGTAGAGAATTTGAATAGTCTCCACTGCTTCATGTAGTTTGTGTGCTCCGCGTTCCGTGGGCGGCGATGCCAACCAAGGAGTCGGGCGAGCCGTTTCGGGGCACGTTGATACGAATTCCCTTCCGGACGAAGGAGTCTGCAGCGAAAAGCGAGATTAGCAAGATTATTGTAAATGATGAAATGGTGGCGGCATTGTCGCACCAATTTCAAGCCGAGGCATACCAATGGCTCTTGTTTTTGCAAAACGTGCAGGAAGTTTCCATGTCGCGCCTGCAGATCCAAGACGGAGAGCCTCTGCTCCAGAATATTTTTTCAGTCTCTTTGGCCAGCCGTGCAGAGAAGTTGACGAAGAGACCCAGTTTGGTCACATGTGGAAGCACTGGTCGCAGCACTGCTGTCTCCACGCAACTAGAGATTGTGTGCAAAGGGCCTGACGGCCAGACGCAACTGCGGCGATATCAGCTGTTTACAGATGCCCAACATGGGTTCAAGACGCGTGTGTGCCTGGCAGTTCCGCTCTTCCGGGAGCAAGACGGTTGTGATGGTTGGTATCATGATGAAGATGGGCGGGTGTTTTGCTTCCTCCCTCTTCCACGTAACATCGACCTTGGGCTGAGACTGCACGTCCACGCGCCATTGAATATGGCACAGGACAGACGAAGCATGCTTCTCGACAATCGCATCGGCGAGTCGGAGCAAGAGCTAGTGCGGCACAACCTGCTGCTGCTGGACGATCTCATTCCGACCGGCACTTAGAGCGTTGCAGCTTTTCCTGGCACTTCCATTAGTTCGATTCTCGATGTTGGGTAGGTTGCTTTGCACAGCTGCTGTGTCCAAGGTCTGCGCTCGTCTCTTGCCTCATGGACTTGGCTTTGAAACGAAATCAGATGCCTCCGTGCCACTTCTTCGCTTTGTTCCCGAGGCTTTTCAACTGCAAAGGGAACGTGTCGCCTTCAGACCGCATCGCGAGAACATTCTACGCCCGGCTGCTGGGTCTTGTCAGGGGCGAGTCGTGCCCTTTACCTGTTGCTGCAACAATAAATGCTCGGGGCCAAAGTCGCACTGAAGCACCTCCAGGCTATTGGGTAAAGGTAGCTGATGCCGTGTTTGTCCCGACAGCCGGTACTCCGGGTGTGGAACAGATTTCGCAGAGTTTGCTCGACAACGTTGTGGAGTGCTTGCTTCGTTGCGGTGTCCCTCTTGTCGATGCCCCCCAGCCCGTGCTGGAGTCGATCGAACGGGTCCTGGAGCCACGCCAGCCTGTTATCTTGACACCTGCGTGGCTCCGGCAGTATTTGCGGTCAGCTGCAGGCGGCAAACGGACTCACACGCTCAAGAAGCAGCAAGCTTCGACAGTGTTTTCGGAGCTGACTCCGGAGGACGTTGCAAGCTTCCTGGAGTTCTGCACTGGTGACGGCAACACCGCTGACTTGCAGGGTGTGCCCTTGGTTTTGTGCGATGACGAATTGACTGTGCATGTGTTTTCCAGCGACGCGCAAGCAGTGTTTTTCCCGCAAAGTCAACTGGAGCGTCGCCTATTTCCAAACAGAGACGGGCGCAAGCTACTTCTTTCCGCGAGATTGGAATCGAGGCCTGTTGTTTGGGCGAAGTTGAAGGAGATGGCGAAGGCGTTTGAAACCGGTGGCAGAGCCGACGGTCGGCCTGATGGAAGGCAATGCCCATGCTTTCAGTGCAAGACGGTAACTTTCGAGCTCCTCGTAGAGGCTCTGCAGTCACTTTTACCACGAACGTGGAACGATCCCGTGCCGCAGGTTTCAGCATCGGACTATTCGGAGTGGATTGAGGACTGGCTTCAAGCAATGTGGAAATGGATGGATTCGAAAGATGTTTCTCTTTCGCGGCTCGTTCACTGGCCTCTAATTCCTAGTTTGTGCGGCGGGTCCAAAGTTGACTTGTTCCGTATACCTGAGGCCCACAAGAAGGTGCTGTTTTCGGACAGCAGACCTCGGAAACCGCCCCCTCCGCCACCGCCACCACCCCCACCTCCCCAGTCATCTGCTCAACCAGCCCAGCCCGTGGAGCCTTCCCAGTCGCCTCCAGAGACGGAGACGGAGCCTGCACCGGACACGCAGAGAGCTGAGAAGCCAAAGGACTCAGTGCCGTCGACCTCTGCGTTGATACAAGAGCTCCTGGTGGCACTGAACTGCCGTCCCGTGTCGGAGCCGACGTGGTTGCTTGATCATCACCAGAAGCAGATCCGAACTTGTGTTCACGCATCCACTTTCGAGGGCTTCCTCCGGGCCATGCACTTCGCATCCAGGCTTCTGCCCGGGAAAGAGAAGAAGCCGGCAGCCGCACTTCACGCAGCCCTCTGCAGCAAGCTCACCAAGCACCATGCCAAAGCTTTGCTGGTCATGGCGGCATCTGTCCAGCGAGAGGGCTGTGTGGAGGAGTCCGTGGCCTCGGCCCCAAATTGGAAGGCGAAATCCGAGGCTTTCTCTGGGCTTCCCCTCTTCTGCAAGTTTAACCAAGCCTCTGAGAGGATGTGTCTCAGCAGCCACGCCTTGGTCCTCGTCCCGGAGACATGTCCACAAGTGGTGTCCGCCCTGCGGGCTGCCGAAATCACGGAGTTGGCCTGTGCTGAGATTCCGGAGGAGGTCGGGGTGTGTCCTGGGTTCCCCTTTCGGCATCCCGATTCCGGTAATTTCTTACACGGTCATCTTGCACAGAACCTTGAATCGCAATATATCCCTAATCCCCGTAAACGCAGGGCCGGAACCATCTTAAACCGAAAGCCCTTTAGACATAAAGCCCTACCTGAGAAGACGAGCCAGGTGCTGATTGTGCTGACGCCTGCAGAGTCGGCTGCTGTCACCACACTTCTGCGGGAGCTAAGCCTGCCGAGGCTGAAGTGGGCAGACTTGCTTCAGGCATGGGGTTTTTGGGGCCTTCGAGTTTAGGGTTTAAGGCTTAATTAGGGCTTATGTAGTTTAAGGTTTAATTAGGGCTTTGGCTTTAGGGTCTAGGAATTTGGGGTTTAGGCTCGACTGGCCGGCCTTGAGGAAGGCTATTGAAGTGACGCCCCCGACAGGATCAGGTGTTCCCTTGGGCAGCAAACGCTCGCAACACGGACGTCACCGTGCGCCAAGGTCTGATGAGGGCCTTGGTCTATCATTGGCGGGATATGGAACTGATGGGAAATACCACATGCCTGGAGGCATTGCAACGAATTCCCTTCATCAGCACAGTTGGGGGCAGCATCATGTCTGCGGTTGATATGCTGGATCCAACCGTGGACAAGCTTCGCGCGCTGTATGGCCCCGGTGATGTGCCAGGGCCCTTTCCGGATAGTCGCTGGCTGTCAGCAGAGTGCCGAGCAGTGCTTCACTACAGGACCGAGCTGAGTTACCAGGAGATAAGTGAGCGGCTTGGTTTCCTACACCAAATTGAAACCGAGCGCCGCAGAGCTCTTGAAGATGCCGGGTCCAATGCCAGGCCCGAGGCTTCCTTGGAGGTGCGGGCAGTTGCCATGGCTTTGGTGAGGTACGTCTGCGACGATGTCTGCACCGCGATGAAGGACGCTGGGGAGGATCTGCCGGGGAAGCAGAAGGAGGAGCGGCCCCGTCAATCGGAAGGCGGCTTCTGGCAAGCTCTGGACTTTGTGGGAATGCTCAGCGGACCTGCAGAAGCCGCAAAGCCTGCGAAGAAAGCTGCCAAGCTCTCACCGGATGAGCTCATGTCGATCCAGTCGAAACTCAAACGATGCTACTGGCTCGCACCGCTTCCTCGCCCGGATGGGTGGCCCTTGGACGCTCCTTGGAGAGGTTCAGAATGTGGCCTCTGCTCATCGGAAGAGGCACGGGGTCCCTTTAGCTTTCGTTCCTCGTCCTGACAGTGCAGCGCCAGGTGCGTTTGGCTTCAGAGGAGTTCTTGGTTGGCATGGCGCGGGAGTGCAGTGCGAATGTAGCGTGGGAGTCCGGCGCAGTCGCTCAGCCGCACTCGCACGGCAGGTCCGCCCACTCATCGGCCTTGTGACTCCCGCATCTCCAGGCCTTCAATTGCTTCGGAGACACGAAAAAACTGGGATGTTCGGACATGCTTCGAAAGTCAGCTTGCACCGCAGCCGTGGTCTGTGGTCAGGTGGCGGCAGGCTCTCCCATCACTTCGTTGTGAGATTCCCAGAAAGGCACTTGGCACATCGCCCTGAACATGTAGTGTTTTTCGCGCAGGAGTGCCTTGGAATGATGGAGAAGCCGAGTGAAGGACTGATCAAGGAGCAGCTCGCAAAGATGCAGGCACTGTCCACTGAGAGTCTGAGAGTGTAGACAATTCTTGATAATTATCCGCTGAGCATTCGAACCTTGATTCATCTTGATTCTGTGAGACAGCCAGCTCTTTCAGCAACAGTAGCCTGAGTGAGCTTGTGAGCATGAAGAGGCCTGGGCATCGATGCTGCCAGATGAAAAGCGAGAGGCGTCATAGCTGCTTCGAGCCCTGGGGGGCATGTTCATCTCAACGCGCAGGTGAGCTCGCCGTGGATCACTCGATGCCTCTATGATCACCTGTATCCCACCTTCTTGAATGCTACGCGTGTTGAGGCATCGGAACTGAGTCTCAGCCATTTCCGGGTACTATTAAGAGCCGGAACCCAGGAGATCGCCAGCGACAGCAACCAGCAGCTGTGGGTTGCCATCCCAGTGGATGCTTGTCCTCCAGGGGCTCAAACCTCCACCGTGTGTTTCTCAGGTGCCACAAGGAGGTTTCTTGCCCATGTCGCGAATCGCTCGACAGCACATCGAATTTCCGCCTTATTTGGTCAAGGCACGGGGTTTCAGCGGTTAAATGACTCGTAGCCGGCATTTGATGTTGCAGATCGCGACAGGCACCTCCTGAATGGAGGGAGAAGATACCAGTTCTGTGGTCCAAAGTGAAGGACAGCTTCGGCGTCCGAGATTGCAGCGAGGCCTTGGGATGTGCCGCCGCTTTTTCCAATTTCTGAGCTCTACGTGGGTTTCGTTGATCTGAGCGAGGCCTTGTGCAGGATGGCTGAGATCGCAAAGCAGTCCGGTGGTGGTCCCAAGGAAAACATCAAGAGCTTTGACCGAGAGTAGCTGAAGTTGCTGAGGAAAGGAGTCTCTGGACTCTGAACACCTTGACAGTGCTGTCCGCCTCATACTCGCCATCTCGGACATGCTGCAGCAGGCACCTGCAACACCCACCCACCCTCCCCCCCGCCTCGACTTGGGCGTTAAGGGGTGGCCAGGAGCGTGCGGAGAGCGCTGGTGCTGCGGCCGGCAGCAAGCTCGACATCCTGATGCCCACGACGGAGCCGTTACACTCCTAACTCCTACTTAAAGGATCATGGGACTTAGTAAGTAGGGTTATAACTAGGGTAACTATGCTTACAACCCCCAATTAGGGGACTTGTAACCTTACTTACTACGTGTGATGGTCCTCCAAGTACTGCACCGTTCAGAAGTTAAAGAGACTGAACATGACTGAACATGTGCGCTTTGATGCAAAGGCCACAGGCCCAACCCCCCCCTCCCTTTCCACAATTCACTCGTTTGCAGGAGTCGACGCTGCGTTCTGCTCGGGACTGCGTCTTCAACAACATGACTTGGCCTCTCGGCTCCAGAAAACTGTGAGCTTTCGCCGGCGGTGCTGCGGTTAGGAAGTTCAGGGTTTGGGGTCCAGGGCCTGGGGGTCCAGGGTTTAGGGGTTAAGCGCTTTCGAGTTTAAGGTAGTGCAGCATGGTAGGCAGCAGTGGGGGTGACACGAGGCTGCCGGATGTGGAGACAGCCGATCTGAACCTCGGAAGCTACGGCCGGGGGGCCTTTCTTTACTGCAGATCTTCATCCAACTCTTTGGCTCTAGTCAAGGTCTCGTGCACCAAAAGATCTCCCATGCAGTCGCTCACACATGCGGGTGCCGAGCGCTTGGCCTTGCGATGCTGCATCTACAAAGGTGAGGTAGAGCAGGACAGATGAGCCTTTTGTCCGAAAACACCGGTGGCCCTCATCAGGCAGAGGCCTTTCCTTGGTCTATGCTCGTGAGGAGCCGTCCTCAACGATGACCGGACCCTGCTTTGCCGTGAAACGAATCCTTGAGAATTCAGGCGACAGAGATGCACGGAGCTGACTGGTGCGAAGCTGCAGGTCAGAGTGAGTCAGGACCTTACGCCAGGCTGCGGACACAGGCAGCCTCGCCGCATCTGCCTACTCGGCCCAGGCCCATAACCACGCGCCTGAAGAACTTGCTGAAGGAGTCCTTGCCCATGTAAGACACTGCTCACATGCCTGTGCTGGGGGGCGAGGACTACCCTGCGGACGTCAGCATGTTCAAAGAGATGGTGCAAAATGCAGACGATGCCGGTGCCACTGAGGTGACTGATGCAGCTTCCCTGGTGTCCTTCCGAATGCCCTAAGCTCCTAAACCTTACAAGCCCGGTCAGGTGCACTTCGTTTGGGACTGGCGACAACATCGGAGGCATGTCTCGGGCATTCATGGGCCTGCAGGGTCATGTTGAGTTTGGTCTGTTGCAACATAAGATAAGACAAGTAATATGCATGTTCAGACTTTTGCCTGCGAGGCAGTCTTTGCTCACCCCGGACATGGATCGCTGGTCTGGCAGCCTGGGTTCAGTGCATCGCACCGCCGTGTCGGGAGTGTGTCATGTTCTCGGCCCTTTCCGCAGCTTTTGGTGAGGCAAGGCCCTGCCTTGTGGATCTTCAATGATGCGCAGTTCTCCAGCAAAGACTTCGAGAGCATTTGTCGTCTTGGAGTCGGGGGAAAGCGTGACCAGACCAGGCCATGGCTTACCCATGGGCTCTTTGAAGGACAACCTTGAATCTGCAAAGCACTTCCCCTCAAGGAAGATTGGCCGGTTTGGACTTGGCTTCAACTCAGCATCTCTCCGAGATCTGGGTTCATCTGGCAACAGTCTTCGTGCTATTGGTCCGTACCCTCTCCTGAGGTATACAACTTCACTGACTTGCCCAGCATCCTCAGTGATGACATGGCGCCTGTCTCGAATTTTGGCTTGTGCCTTGAGAGGCAGCGATGAAGAGCGAGTGACGTTGTGCTCCGAGGTACTATTCCTGGACCCTCATGTGCATCATCTGTCTGCCATGGGAGCCTCCGTCGAGACCTCAGCAGCCTGAGCACAGAGTCGAATCAGGAACGCCTGTGAATTTGAGCAGGTGCAGAAGCCCGGCATAAAGCTGCGCTTTCTGAAGATCAAGGTGGGGTGCTGTTGTGACTTTGCAGGTGAGCTTTTGTACCTCCGCCAGTCCTTGCCAGGTCTTGGAGAAATTCCGCGATCAGTGCCCCCGGCATGCTTGCCTACTCTTTTCTACTGTAACATACTGTAATATACTATTATATACTATAATCTACTATCGCCCTGCATTTGCTTCAGATGCTTCAGCCCTTTCTTTGGGATTGCAGGTTCCTTCCGTACCACCATCTCCTGGATTGCGACCTGTCTTCCTCTCGGCCCTTCCCGGGCACGTCAGGGCCTCAATGGTCGAAACATGCCCGAACGGATCCTACGGCTGATGGTAAAAGTCTTGCATTACCCATAATAAGGCATATACCATAGTTCCCATGGTTTAGGGTCCTTATTAAGGTAATGCAGAATTATGCAGAATTTATATTATCCACAGTACCCGGGCCCGTCTTTGGAGCCGGCCCTGCAGTCCCTGTCCCTGGAGGCTGATGCGCGTGCCTTTCCGCACCGCGGAGGTGGCAAAGGCAAGCGAGGCCGAGGCCTCAGCAAGAGATCACTCGAGAAGCTTGCGGAAGCTGACATGAGCTGGCTCCAGAAAAGAAGTGTCAGAGCGCCAAGGGCTTTGGGTTCAGGGTTTGGTTCTTGCAGCAGCAGACATCTCTCTCTCGCTCTCTCCGCAAAGCCGATATGGCCCCGAAGTCAGGTGAGCAACATCCAGATGGACAAAGCACTTGCAGCTGAGTTGCGAGCTTATCTAGAGAGCAAGTGATGCAGCGGCGAAGGGACGTGTAATGCAACTCGAGAAACCATGCTCCGCTAAGAGGCTCACATCGCAGTTTCGGGCAGAAGCGTTTCAATGGCTGCTTTTCTTGCAGAATGTTGCCAGGCAGATATGCTTCACTTGTGCTAGAAGCGTAGCCGGCTCAGTTCAAGCAGAAGTTTCAGCTTTGCAGGATCCGGCTCTCGGAAATCCACGAGAACATGGGGTCAGAGGATGTTTTAACAACGACGATCTGTGAGGCGCGAAGACTTCTGCAAAGGCTGCCATGTATACGCCTGCTCTCTGCCAGGTGAAGATGGGAGTACCGGCGCCTCTGGCTTCCGAGACCGTGGAGGCTGAGGACACAGCACCCGCCAAGCGCATCTCCGCCATCGGCTCCGATTGTGACTGGGGCTTGGTCTTCGAAGATGTCTTGTGATATCTTGCGAATCTTGCTGTGATGCATTCGTGCACGGAGCGGAGGTCGTTGCAGATATCACCATCGACGCAACGGACGCTAGTTGTCCTGGGCACCGAAGTCACCACTACAGGCAAGTTGAAGCTCGTTTTGTGCGCCCTTTGCTGTAGAAGCGTTGCCAGGCTTATCGGTGGAGCAGACTGCGGCGTCACCGAGCAAGTCTGCATTGCGCTGCCTCTGGTGGTTTGGCCCTCAGCAATCCTTGGCACCCAGCGAGACTTTGGGCCTAAAGATGTCGAGCGATATTTACACACACACAGGTGTGTGTGTGTGTGTGTGTAAATAACTATATAGATAGAAACACACACATATATACATATATACACAAACCCCCATGCATAATCTGTTTTCCTTGGGCTGGGCTGCAGGAGCTTCCTGGCAGCACAAATGGGAACGACACCGCGGGCTATCCCAAAGAGGCGGCAAACGTACCGCTGCTGAAGCTGTCAAAGGAGGAGGCCAGTCCCTGCGTCTGTTTTGCGCAAACGGTACCAATTCTCACAGCCCGTTATATCGTAATTATTATATCATACTAGATGATATCATACTGTATCATATTATATCATGCTATATTATATCATATATTGTATCATATCATTTTATATCATGTCATATTATAATAGACCTGTTTTGTCCTCTGCGATTGCCAGATGTCAGGGTCGACTCTTCTGCTTCCTTCCGCTTCCGAAGAGTGCCCTCTCGCTGCGCCTGGCAGCTCACATGCACGCGTTGGGAGCTTGGCCTTCGCCATCAGCCCGTGGAGTGCAGGATATTAGGGCTGAGGGTTAAGTGTATACTTGGAGGTTCATGGGTAGTTATAAGTGGGGTTATAAGTCCCCTAATATGGGTTATAGTTATAGTTACCCTACTTATACCCCTACTTATAACTACCCATGAACCTCCAAGTAGGGCATGAAACTAAATCGCACGGTGTGCTCTACTGAGGCCCCTGAACACAACACAGGATCGTCGAAATGTACTCATGGATGAGCGGGTCGGCGAAAGAGAGCTTATCACCAAGAACGCGGCTGGCCCAGTTTGAAACGGAGATTGCGCGATAAAGTGTGCACAGCTCAAACTTAAACTTATCGGAATGGTATAGATCGAACCGCTCTAGACTCCAGATGGTTTTTCAATGGGAATTGTTGTCAATTCATTCTACGGTTTCGGTGGTTTGTCAATTGATTCAGTGGTTTCGGTGGTTTATGTTTCCTTATCTTGCTTGTCTGCATTTCAGTCTATGACCTCACTATTCGTTAGGTCTAGGACAGGATGCATGCGGTAAGGGCCATTGCTGTGCCCCATTGCTCCGTGGGCTATGTCGGGACCCCAACCCGAGTACGTCTCGCAGCAATCTTCGAAGCAGGTCCTCGATGGAGAACCAGTGCTAGGCTTTGCTGGCAAAACAGTTCGTGTAGAGGAAAAGCTGTGAAACAATACACAAGCCAGAAAATCATAAACAACGTCATCAAGCAAGCTGTGCTAACCGCCGCTGCGTGTCTTAGGACTCCACGAATTCGATGGCTTCGTTGTGCAAAAACGCTTCAAAATCCTCCCGGAAGTCACGAAAGGGGAGCTTTGTACTCACACCTCGCAACGTGAGCCTGGGATTGTATGGGGGGGGGGGTTGGGGAGGGCAGTTTTGTATGGTTTTTGAACTTCCGCCCCACCCGTGGCTCGCCAAGTGTTGACTCTTCGGCCTGGGCGATGACAAAAGATGAGGGCTGAGCTGCATACTAATCTAATTGCATGTCGTCTGCGTCTCCCAGTCCTGTGTCACCGGCCCTGTTCGCTATTGAGCTTTCGTCTGGCTCTCAAGTTTGGGTTTTCTGGCACGCTCGGACACCTCCTTACCGAGCCAGTGCGGGACAGTTCAGGCCCCAAGCCCCATCTCAGTCTATCCACGCCCGCTCCGACTCTCTCTCGCTCTCTCTCTCCATCTCTCTCTCTCTCTCTGCCTGTCTCTCTCTCCGTCTCTCTCTCTCCGTCTCTGTGTGTGTGTGTGTGTCGACGGAATCCTTGAACGAGACATACACTGGGTGCTGGGAGGCTGCAGATGCGCTGCAGCCTTACAACGAAGGACGTATCATGAACCGGTATCACGTCAAATCCACAGCAGCGCGGAACGTAAAGATTTCATAACCAGAGAAATCGTCGGAGTCAGAAATCAGCCAAAATCTGTCCATTAAGAAGCTATTGGTGGATCTCCTGTCTGTACTAAGCCCGAAACTCACAAGCGTTCCTCAGGTTCGTCTACTTGATGTTCGCATTCCTGAGCATGCTCCTCAGCAAGCCAGACAAATCAAACTATCCGTACAAGAGATATCGAGATGGAGATTGTCCAGGTGCGTTGCTCGCTGCATACTGAACCTTTCCACGCGGGCGTCTCCACAGGAATCTTGATAGTTGCCCCTTGTATCGGCACAAAGGCAGCGCGTCAACTTGCAGGACTACTTCAGCGTCTTTCCGGTCTTGCATCCGAGTGCACGCGGTGGAGATGGTGCGCAGCTGTGCATGATGTCTTATGACCCCGGAATGGAAGTTGCCGTCGAGATGGCGAACTAGAACAGTAGTTCCAGCTGCATTGAGTTCACCAGCACTACTGGGTGCTCTCACCACAGTCTGGCTTGAGACGGCGGCTCCCTAAACCTGCTAAATTGCTTGCGTCACCGGCTTGAAAGCATTTTCAAGATTTTTCAAGTACATAATTCGCAGGCCGCAAACAAGAGGTGCCGGAAAGCACCGTTGCAGATCGCGTCGCCAGTTGCTCGGGCGTGCATGTTCAAGGGTGGCCGGAGATGGCACCCTCTTCTCTCCCTCAAACTCCCCACGCTCAGGCCCAGTCTTTTTACAAGCTGCTGATTCGGCGCGCCGAGCCTTTCTTTCCGACCGTGGCGCCATGCCCAGTCAGACACTCTATAGACCCTGGAGATCCCTAAAAGACTCTAAGCCATAAAACCCCCCTCGGCCCAAGGCCCCATCTGAAGGAATGACGTGGAGCACCTGCGTGTCCTTCAGTGAGGCGGTCTTCTGCTCCCCCCGCGAGGCTCCGACCTGCAAGAGGTAGCAGTCGCACTTTGAAGATCACGAAGGTTTGGGCCTTGAGGTCTCAAATTTCAGGGTTGCAGAGTTTATCGGGCTTCAGGGGTAGGGTTCAGGATGTATCTAGAAGATAAGATGTGTTTTGTAGCCAGTATAGTTAGCTGGATACAGAAGAGAACCGTAGTTCGTCGTCTTCAGAGCTCTGACACCCTGCCAGATTCTCCCCAGCCCGCCATATGCCGCCCAACAAGCAGCAACACACCGAAGCGCACATGGGGACCTCTGCCTCTCCTACTTGGAGGCTCATAGGTAGTTATAAAGTTATAAGTCCCATAATATGGGTTATAATTATAGTTACCCTACTTATAACCCTACTTATAACTAACCATGAACCTCCAAGTACACCCACTCCACCTAGTCGCAACGCAGGGCCTCTCTACTGGCCTTGAGGCAAAGCTATCGAGTGGCGGTCCGGCAGACCAGGGAGCTGCGCTTCTGACGGCCGTTTGCCAATGCTCGGACCCTTTCAGTACTTGTCGGGTTTTCCGGATCGGTTCACGGCGGATTTTTTCTCTCTGGCCGAGGTCTTGCGCGTTTTGGCGTTCATGTGGTGAAGATCCCGCTCCGAGTGCTCGAGTCCTTGGAACAAGTGTTGCACCCGGCGCAGCCGCGCGTGCCCTGCCCCGAGAGACGGCCCTCTTGTCACTCTTGCCCGGCGTCCGGACTTCCAGACTTCGAAGGTTGACTCCGGCGTGGTTACGCCAGTTCCTTCGAGCAGTTGGGGCCAGCAAATCAAGCAAGGGCCTCGGCGCCGATCACGGGAAGCCTTGCATTGCGCCCGTGGGCCAGTCCTGTACGTCCCAAGAAGGCTTTCCGATCTCTGAAGATGCAAAGTCTGCCTGGGCCTTGGCTCATTCTTATGGAGAGCTTCGCAGTAGACATTTGGTGTATCGGAAGCCCGGAGGCCACGCTAGCCGCCCCTGAGATGCGCAAGAATGCAGAGGTCTCCATCTCGTCTTTGACTACAGAGGAGGTGCCCAGATGCGTAAAACATTTCAATCCATCCGATGTACTTTAGATTTCGGAGTCTGGAGCTCCAGACACTCTGACTCTCTGACCCGTGCTTTAGGCCATTGCTTTGTTGGACTACGCCATAGCAGATGGTGACTTTGCAGACCTCGAGGGAGTACCGTTGCTGATTTCAGAGGCTGGGAGAGCCACACTGTGAACCTTCCCGACACCATGCTGAAAAGCAAGGATGCGGCAGTGGGAACAGTGAGCTTCACTTCCACGCCGAGTGCTGCTGGGGTTTTCGTGCCCGAGGACGTCTCTAGGGACAAGAAGAGAAGAAGGAGCTCTGTGTGCTTTCGACTGATTGCCCGAGGACGATGATGAGTATCAGCTCCTTCCCCAGGCTGGATGCCTCTGTCTCATTCTCCAGCTCTTGCATCACTCCTTCATACGTTCCCTTCCGCGCTTCTATGCGCCCTCCGACCCGATCTTGTGGAGGCACCGCGGCGGGTGCTCTCAAAGAAAGTCCGAGCTCTGCGCCCTTGGGCTACTGCCTCAGCCGACTTTTGACCCAGCGACGCACCAGAGGTTCTGGCATTCTGAGACGATCGATGTGCGAACAAGCCTGAGGTGTGGCAGCACCTTCGGCAGATAGCTTCCGGGGATGCACCACAAGGGCAGAAGCCATCAGGCCTCCCTTTTTATTTGAGCCTTCCTCAGGTTTTTAAAGAGCTGAGTGGCCGGTCAGGCCCCAACGGAAGTTTCCAGCCCCAGCCTCAGGATTGGGGTCGGGCGGGGGCCGCAATAAGGATTCTACAGTGGTGTGTGTGCTGTAGTTCTTATGTTGCTAGGTCACCTTGAAATTCTCCATCATGGTATCAAAGTTACAGTGGCATACCAACCGCATCAGTTTATCTTTTTGAAATGCCGCATTTCACTAGTGTTCATGTCCCAGTGTGACTCGTTGGAGCTTAGAGGCTTAAGCGAATGACCGTCGAGCCGCTGATGGCCGCGTTGCAGGCCAAGAGCTCAGCTTCAGTGCAGGGTCATTATTATTACTGTTATTAATACTACTATTATTCTTAGTAGTATTATGGCTATTATTACTATTATTACTATTAAGTCTTTGTGCCGCTTTTCGGCTTGTGGTTTCAAGGGTTGGGGTTGGGCACGGGCTTAAAGTTTCAGGTTTGAGCTTTAGGGTTTAGTTTGGGGTTGCATGACTTCTTGTCCCGAGGAACTGCTGCCCAAGGGCTGGAATGTGAAGTCTCCGGAGGTGCCCAAGTCCGAGTGGGAAGGCACCCCGCTAGATCTCATTCATACATGGCGTGTGGTCTCGTTTCTGCACCACTTGCGGGATGCTTCTAGAAATATACCTGCTTAAGGCCGAATCACACTACTGCATGTGGTGGAGCCTAACTAAACTTCGAGCCATGCTTGAGCACTGCGAGTCTGGCATCAGGCTGGGTGGAGACATGGTTGCGGACGCTGATGCTCGGCGGCACTGCAGACAGAGGATATGTGGTTAACAAGATGGTGACTGAAATGAGAAGGCCTAGAAGCGGATGCCTTTTCTGTTGATCTTCAAAGGTGGCATTGGCTAAATCGGATGAGTGCCGCACACCCAGTCAAGTGCAAAGCACATCGGCTGGCTTCCCGTCTTCGCAGAAGGTTCCCGCCAAGAACCTGCTCCATTGGCCGCTGGTGCCAAGTTTGCGACCACTTCCGACCCCGCGACTTGGTAAACACCCTGAGAATCTCAATGTGGCATAAAGGGTACTATACGGTTCTATAATTGGATCCCCCTTAAAGGGTAATATATATATATATATATATCTAAACCCTAAACCCTAAACCCTAAACCCTAAACCCTAAACTTAAACCCTAAACATATATATATATATAGATATAGATCTAGAGGTGTAGGAGAGCTGGAGAGCAGCGTCGTGATCTTCCGAGGATCGTACAAGGCAGCGAGGCCTGGCAGTGCGGTGCTGTCAAAGTTTCCCATTTTTATCTTGTAACGTATTATGGTTTAGGGTTTAGGGTTTAGGGTTTAGGGTTTAGGGTTTAGGCAGATAGCATATTGTAGATCATGTAATGCGTTATCGTATACTATATAGTGTATCATGGAATGTACTAGAATGTTGCGGTATATTAACCGCATATCATGGTATATTACAGTGTATTGCAGTACATTGCTGTACATAGTATATCAGAATATGCTGCAGAATAGCATCGTATACTATAGCAACAACCGCATATTGTACAGTATACCAGATTGTGCGAGAGCATAGCATACTATGTTATAGAATGTTATAGTATACTATAGTATATTCTGGTAATATACGCTATATCATATTTTATGGTGCTGCTACAACTCACCAAGCCTTTGTGAAGGATTCGGTCTCGGACACGCAGCCAGAGTACAAGGTCCGATTGCACAGGCCCACCGGGAATTGCGGGACTTGCGGCTTGCATAACGTAACATAACATAAAGTATAATATATAGTACATCCTGTTATGTAAAGAAACATAGTCTAAAAGTAGCTATGTAGTGTATAAGAACTAGTGCATTCTAAAATCAGTGCGACGCATCTTTCGAATCCGGCCTCGGCTTTGAAGGCTGCTCCCGGACAGTGCGCTCTTCAGCGCATCGGAAGAGCAGGACTCCAGAAGGCAGGACTCACAACAGATGGAGAGGTCAGGGGCACAGTGTTTTGCTTCCAAGAGTACCCTGAATATCTCTGAACGGCATGCTGCCAAGGCCAGCCAGTGGAATCTTGAGCGGAGAGCACGCGCGGCCATTGGTTTGGTGCTTAATTACCTGTGGGTGATTGTGAGGTGATAGCTGCGGCTACATCAACACTCGGGATGCCTCAACACCACCAAAGCCAACACGGCTGAATACTATATGCATGGCTACACAACGTTGCACATACAAAGATGGAACGGATACACCCTTTCTAGCATCCCATTCTCAGCTGTGTCCGAGAGCCTGGTGAAGGTCGAGCTGCTTGAAAATCGATTGGGCTGCACACCAGCCTACGTCTCGGAATTTGCAGTTCGGGTTTAGGGGTTTTATATATTCTATACATCTATGTGCAATTCGACATGTATCGGAATAGACAACAATAGCATCTAATCTGCAATCAATCCTGCATGTTCGGATTGAAGACGTGGTCCCTAAAGCCCTCAACCCTAAGCCCCCTTGAGTGTAAAGCCCGTAGCCATAAAACCCTAGGCCCAAAACCCTAATCTTTTAGGGCTGTACTATAGCTCTCCTATTCTGAGGTCTGGTTGCCCAAGTGGCTGAAGGGAGATCGAGAACGGCAGCTGAACGGTTTCGTTCACCCTGCAACTGCAGACGGGCTTATGAAGGCAGGGTTTAGGGTTTAGGGTAGATGTTGTATATCTTCTTTGCATGCTAGATAAACTAATATATATATATATATACATATAATATAGTATAATATAATATATAATAGACAATAGCTACAATATATATATATATATATAGTGTAATATATATATATACATATATAATATACATATATATATATATATACACATATACATATGTATATATATATATATATATAGAAAAATAATGTGTTATATAATGAACATTGCTGCATTATATCATTGATTTGCATGGCTCATGGATCTTCCAGATATCCAGCTTGCAGGCAGCCCATTCCAGACTGCGATTGCTGGTCAGGGAAAAGCATGCCGCGCAGGCACACAGTTCCAATCAATCCTAGCCTAGCCAGCACAGTGCAAGCACTTTTGATTGAATGTAGCACGATGCATGCATAATAACTCTGCATGAGGTTTCTTCCCGATCCGCTGCCGTCCTCGAGCTGCGGAAGCTGTAATTCTCCAAGCCTGCAGTGCACAGTATGGCCTTACACTTGCTGAGACATGCTTGTTATCAGTGGGCCGCCGTCGCAAAGTAGCAACGGGTGCGTAGTGAGTATGTGTGAGAGTGCAAGGTTTGGCTCGGACATGTCCAAGGAGGAGCAGGCAGCTTTGGCTGCTTGGCTTGTGCGAGCCAGCGTCGAAAGCTGTGCCGGGTGCTTGACATGCTGTTTCCTGGTCCCGCATCTGCGCTTTGCGGACTTAACATCTTGGACAAGGACTGCCCCCGCAGCGCAGAGACCACCGATGACCAGACTGGCGCCGTCGTGACGAACCAAGTCTGCTGCCCATGTGGCGACCTTGGGTCCGCGAAAAGAGAGAGCTCCTGCAGTGCAAGGCAACGACAGCCAAAGCAAAAGGAACAGAGGGATGGAGGCTACGGCGAGTAACTACGGCACCACGCTCTTCGCCGTGTCACGTAATGTAGCATGTCAAGTGCGCGTGGCAGGCTCAAATGTGGAATTGTGCAAGCCGCACCACTCTTCCGCCCCTTTGCCACGCCCAAGGACTGGTTGGAAAGGATAGCTTGCTGTCCCTGGAATGCCCCTTTATACACACATATATATATATACTTAGACATATATATATATATATATATGCACACATACATATCTATATTATATGTATGTATATACTATAGCACAACGTATATACCTATATCTACATACATACACATACAAAGAAGTATTGTACACATCTTATACATAGTACATATTTACACATAAAATACTATACACAGTATACACCGTATACATAGTATATATATATATATATACATATATAATATAAGATGTATATACAAGTAGATTGTCTGCATATATACTCTAAATACACGTAAGTATAGCCTGTACAAGATATTATGTAGTATGTTTTGTGTGCTCTGTCTGCGACTGCATGACAGGAGCTTGTTGCTCTCATTGAGTTCGACCAAGCCAAGCACCGTGGGACAGATATGCAGAAGGCTTCCTCTCGTTCAAGCTGGTCGCTCCTTCCGGAGGCACACTATCAATCGGAAATGCGTGCAAAGCAGAAACAGGTCAGCTAGCAGGGCCTGTTTGTAGCAGCTGATGTTGATTATCTAATGCAGTCAGCATCCTCGTCCATTTGTCTTTGTGATTCTTGTGTTGTCTTGAAGCTGATACTTGTCTTCAGACCGCCTTTGTTGCCCATGTCCTTGTGACTGTCCGGCGATGATTTCGAACACCAGCAATGTAGTAGATGTTAACTGATAGTGGGTGAGAATTGGTAGTTGGTACTTAGTAGATTCGATTAGATGGTACGAGAGTACATTCGGCGTATTTGCATTTAGTACTGAGTATATGGCAGTTAGTACTCAGTAGCTGGCAGCTAGCAGCATCAATACTTCATGGTGATGATAGTAGTACGGGCAGTAGAAGTAGCAGTTGAAAGTAGTCGTAGTAGTAGTAGCAGTAGCAGTAGCAGTAGCAGTAGCAGTAGCAGTAGTTGTAGCAGTAGCAGTAGCAGTAGCAGTAGCAGTAGCAGTAGCAGTAGCAGTAGCAGTAGCAGCAGTGGCAGCAGTGGCAGCAGTGGCAGCAGTAGCAGCAGTATCAGCAAGCAGTAGTAGAAGTAGTAGTAGTAGTAGTAGTAGTAGTAGTAGCAGTGGTAGTAGAAGTAGGAGAAGTAGTAGTAGTAATAGTAGGAATAGTGGATCAGCAGTAGTAGTAGCAGCAGCAGCAGCAGTATTAGTAGCAGCAGCAGCAGCACCAGTA